CGCAGCACTTTTTCTTCACATTGGATTGGGGACTTTATATTCCAATATTTGTTCATCTGTGCAATGTTTTGTGACTTACAGTTGTGTTCAAAATAATAGCAGTCAGACATCACTAACCTGATCAATCACTGTTTTTGTTAGAAATTATATTTCTACATGGCAAATAATGTACTAGCAGGTGTAGTAGAGTAATAGAAATCCAACAGACCCAACAGTCATGACATGCATGCTGATGATTCTGTGTAATTGAATCACTAATTGAAAGGGGCATGTTCAAAATAATAGCAGTGTGGAGTTCTATTAGTGAGGTCATTCATTTTTTGAAAAACAGGTGGCAATTATTGCCCTTATTTAAGGAAGGAAGGCAGCAAATGTTGTACATGCTGGTTACAGTGCATTTCTCTCTGAAATTCTGAGGAAAATGGGTCATTCCAGACATTGTTCAGAAGAACAGCATACCTTGATTAAAAAGTTGATTGGAGAGGGGAAAACATATAAAGAAGTGCAGAAAATCATAGGCTGCTCAGCTAAAATGATAGCAAATGCTTTAAAATGGCAACCAAAACCTGAAAGACGTGGAAGAAAGCTAAAAACTAACATTCGAATGGATAGAAGAATAGCCAACATGGCAAGGACTCAGCCAACAATCAGTTCCAGAAAGATCAAAGAAGGTCTAAAGTTACCTGTGAGTACTGTTACAATTAAAAAACGCCTATGTGAAGCCAAGCTATCTGCAAGAAGCCCCCGCAAAGTCCCACTGTTGAAAAAAAGACGTGCTGAAGAGGTTTCAGTTTGCCAAAGAGCACATTGACTGGCCTAAAGAGAAATGGCGCAACATTTTGTGGACTGATGAAAGTAAGATTGTTCTTTTTGGGTCTAGTGGCCGACGACAGTTTGTCAGAAGACCCCCAAACATTGAATTCAAGCCACAGTACACTGTGAAGACAGTGAAGCATGGTTGCGCAAGCATCATGATATGGGGATGTTTCTCATACTACGGTGTTGGGCCTATTTATCGCATACCAGGGATCATGGATCAGTTTGAATACATCAGAATACTTGAAGAGGTCATGCTGCCTTATGCTGAAGAGGAAATGCCCCTGAAATGGGTGTTCCAACAAGACAACGACCCCAAACACACCAGTAAACGTGCAACATCTTGGTTCCAGACCAACAAGATTGACATTATGGAGTGGCCAGCCCAATCCCCGGATCTTAATCCAATAGAAAACTTGTGAGGTGACATCAAAAAATGCAGTTTCTGAGGCAAAACCAAGAAATAGAGAAGAACTGTGGAATGTAGTCCAATCATCCTGGGCTGGAATACCTGTTCACAGGTGCCAGAAGTTGGTTGACCCCATGTAACACAGATGTACAGCAGTTCTCAGAAACAGTGCTTATACAACTAAATATTAATTAAGTGATTCAAAGGAAAGCAAAATCTTCAAACATTTTTCAGTTTATATAGTGAATGTTTGAGTTTGTAAAGAAGAATACAAACACTGCGATTTTTTTGAACAGTCTAATATTCACTTTTCTTCAATTTTTTTAGAGGAATAAACACAAGTTTGATATATTTTTCTTCATGTTTGATTTGGAATAGAATGTGTAGTGTTCCCAATGCATTTGTGTGTATGGAAATAAAAGCTATTAGAAGGATTTTGAGCTTTATTCACTTTTTTCAACACACTGCTATTATTTTGAACACACCTGTATATGATATATTATGTTGATCTTTGTATTATCATACACACATTAATTGATAACACAGTTATTTTAGTTCTTTTATATTATATGGGTTTTAAGTGAACAGCGCACCTTTTATATAAGTTGTCATTCATATGTGCTGCCATACTGCCGCTCCTCTAAAAGTGATACACAATAGATTGCCTTTTAGAGGTCACTTGACAGGCATTGAGGAGGTAGCAATAATTTTAATTCTCAAAATACCAATCCACCACACTTCAACTGTATGCATTGGACGCAATTCCAGAGCGGTTACTGTGTGGCCCCATTCACTTGAATGGGTCATGTTCAGCAGCGGTACCACCTGCCAAATGTGGCATGTCATTTAATTTTTGTTGTGACCACACAACAAAGCATCATGGCTACAGCACAGGTAAAGTCTGAACAACAAGAGACGAAAGGGCACAAATGCCTAGTGCTTTATCTCCAGCATTTTATTAAAGGGTAAAAGAAAACAAGTTATACTCACAAGCCAAATAGGAATGATGGCATAACTAAAAGCATAGAAACCTGGAGTCCGCTTTCCAATTTTGGGCCACTGCTCTGAGGAAGGGGGCCAGTCACACAAAGCACGTCATTTGGGATTGTTATCTGAACATTCATTGAAGTTGGAGATAGGACTTCAGGATTCTGTTCTTTTTGTTATGCCATCATTCCTGTTTGACCTGTGAGTATAACTTGTTTTCTTTTACCCTTTAATAAAGTGCTGGAGATAATGCACTAGGAGTGTGCGTCCTCTTTGTCTCTTGTTATGCATGCAGTACTGGATTCCCTGATATGAGGAGGGCTGCACTGCTTGATCCTTCCAGCCTAGGGTTTAATGGATTGTAAGCTCTATCAGTAGGGCCCTCTAACCCTTCCTATTTTGAATTGCATTGTAACTGTACTGTTTGCCCGTTGTAAAGCTCTGCGCAAACTGTTGGTACTGTATAAATCCTGTATAATAATAACAAAAGCATCCCTGCAATTTCTAAGCGCTGAAGTGTCAAGTTTCTAATATATTCTTCTAACATGGATACAGCCCTGAGCGGCTTCATTTCTTAGTTTAGATGGGCAGTCGGGACAGTAAAACTGTGGCTCAACTATCTGCTTTTACTGCCCACTGGCCAACCTTGTGAATGAGCCCTTAAAGAGAAAAGGTTCCTGCACATACAGCCGCTCTTATTCATTTTGCTACTTTTATTAAAAACCATAATGGACTTATTTGCCTCCATGTTTTATGGAAATATGGTATAGGGCCTGATGTTCTGGATAGCAAATAAATCATCCTTCAATAAACATCCGCAAACAATTTTGCAATTTAGAAGCATACAATATATTAACACAATTAAGAAAATGTGTAGTCAACTAAAAACTCAACTGTGTCATGAAATATATTTATTGTAGTGGAATTTCGCTCAATAGATACACACATTATTGAAGTTGTACCCCTTTCTCCATGCTGATCAACAAGCAGATTATAAAATAATATGTTTTTTTTCCAGAAGATAACAATACTGGAAAATACACAACGTTTCCATGACATACTGCTTTTTTCTATATTACGTAGCTCTTCTGCCTTTAAAACCAAATACCTATGTAGATGGTAGGATCTGCTGTGACTGGCAGATCAATGCTTTGCAGATCTTTCCAGAAGCAGAAGGATTAAAGGTTTTGGTCTGTAGATTTTTTTTAACATGCAGACAGATGCATGATAGATATAGCAGTAAAATGAAAGCAGAGGGATAGAACATGCTGCCCTGCACAAAAAGCAATTATGTCTGGGACACTACGTCCGTCTGGAAACCATTCTGATGTTCAATACATTAAACAGCATTTCTAGCAAAGCACGATAATATTCCCTCCAAGAATGTCTTCCAAGGTTGCAAAGAAACAACCACTACAAGCTTTTATGACTGCAAACTGCTCCTTTACAATGCTAGAGCACATTATATTTAATTTTTTTCACCAGAAAAATAAAGGATGGTAGGCTAGGCCCAGTGTTATTTTTGAATTTGCCATCTAACATTATGTGGTTCACATCCTGCTCTTTGTACAATCACACCATCAAGCCATGCCTTCTTATAGGACTATGACAAGCTGCAGAATGTAGTCAATACTTATTTTTGCCAAGTGACACCTTGGACACATTTTGGAGAAGCACCAAAAGCATTGTTTAAAAGTTTTTTGCATTCTGTCCTTACTTTTGCATGGATGTAGTTAAGTCCTAGGGACGTAAGGAATTCAGTACTTTGGCTGATGTTGAGCCATATCCAATATGAATTTTATACAAAGGATCACGGCTGTCTCTCCTTGTTAGCTTCTCCTTGTTAGCTTTCTAGAGTTTACAGATATCCTAAAACGTCATTCTCCTCAATTTCTCCACTGACTTTTTCTTTGCAAACATTCAAGGACTAAAAACTACACCAAGCATAGGAAAACGTCATCGATCAAATTTGTGTGTGCTAATAAATTAAAATATGTCTAACCATAGGGCAGCTTTTCTTTGAGATTAGTACTGCATTTTGTTCCTATACAACATATAAATGTTATCCTCCAGCACTGACTAAACTTAAATATTGCTCGATATGACTTATGAGGCAGCGTCGACCCAAATAAAACTCAGTTCACACTACTGTAACAGTAAAGAAAACCAAAAAAAGAACACATCCTGGAAATGTTCCAGTCCTACAGCTGGCATGGAGTGAGGTAACCATAATTTAGCTGGCTATGGTATGATAATTTCCTCAGTAATGTGTACATGCTGGTAAATGCTTTTTTTTTTTTTTCCTTTTTTTTTTTGTGATTCAACCACAGAAATGTGTTAGAGAATGACTGTGCTGTAGATTTCCATATATAACTTGTCTATAATTCTCAAAAAAAACAGCTTGAAAAAATACTTTACAAAATAGGCTAAGATGTTGCTATTAATAATTACAAGGAAGAGAGTCTTAATTGAAGATAGTCTTAATTGTCTTTTACATATGCATAGAAGCATAAAAATATAAAGCATCCATGGAGCACATCTCATAATTCTTTTCTGTTAGCTGTCTCCGATTCTCTTTCTTTTTCAGTATATCAGTAATTCAAGAGAGAAGCTGGAATGTTGTTAAGGCCTTAGTTGTATGAAAGCTCTCCACTCCATCTAAAGGTTTAGTCAGCCAGGGATGTGATCAGTATAGCAGCATCAGAAGTCGGTCATAGAGGCATGCGGCCTTACATGTCCGATAAGAGCACAAGAAGGTTATGGCTGCATCGTCTGCATTTTCCAATTTCTAGGCTTTGACTTCTCGTTGCTTTCCTTCCTCCTCGCTGAGGTTTTTCTTGTTTTTTTTTCTGCCTCTGTTTCCTCTGTACATCTCCTTCCTTTCTTCTCTGCTTGTTCTTTTTTGTCTCATCTTTGCCCTTTACCCTAAAATGAAAACCAAAAACTGTTTAGTTTCATCATTCCTCAAAAGTAAAGTTCCCATATTACCTGGTTCCCATATATTTGGTATTTTACATTTTTTTTCTGTTCTGAAGAAATTTATGAAGAGGAAGTAAAGCAAAAATTGTGGGAGGAATTGCCTAGAGCAGTGGTTTCCAACCATTTCAGATCGCAGCCTGTAAATGTTCTCAAAACCATCTATGCACTAACAGTAAAAAATAAAGTATATACTCAAATAATAAAAGTGTAGGAATGCAAAACATGTATGGAAATGCTGGATAGCTCTAGATGGGGCTGGGTTTCACTGTAGGGGATAGTAGGTTGTAGAGAGAGCTAGGAGACTCTGCAGCAGACTTGGTTGCCCTGAAGGGGATGAGGTTTCTGGAGGAAGCTGAGGTGCACTGGGGGACACTGATGGAGGTTGGGGGCACTATGGAGGACTGGAAGGTCTGAAGCATGTAGGAGGGGCACTATGGGAGGCTGAACTGCACTGTGAGAGGCTGGGCACCAGTGTGGATGCCGAGGGCTCTCAGGAGGTACCGTGGGCGACTATGGGAGGTTGGGGGGCACTATGGGAGCTCAAATGAACTGTGGGAGTTTAAGAGATTTGTAGCTGGCTGGAGGCCCAGGAGAAGGGAGGCAGCGGCCCAACAGTGGGCCACAGCCTGGTGGTTGAGAACCACTGGTCTAGAACATTTCTAGAAAACATTTATTGATGAATTGGTGCTCACTATTATAAATAGTAAGAAATAGAAATTAAGTTTATTAAAGTGACCCTGTCGCAGGATTCAATTGTGATGTGTGGGAGAGCAGGAGGAACCAGTGAAAGATTCGAGGGAGCCAGCAGACTGACACTCCTGCAAGTGCTGGTTTCCCTAAAGACTTCAGAAGACAATTTCTGCTGAAGGAAGCAGTGTTTGGTAGTGCAAGTGGAAGAAACATCTTACCATGGGGCAGGGGCGGACTGACCATTTGGAAACTCGGGCACTGCCCGAGGGCCCGGGGTCAGTAGGTGGCCCCATGAGATGCCCCTGGTACCTTTTTCATAGGCTTTTTTGAGTTTGGCAAGGACACAGGGGCCCTATGATCTCCTATTGCCCGGGGGCCCCATGAGTTGTCAGTCCGCCCCTGCCATGGGGAGTTTTATGTAACGAGAGAGTCGCTTTAATATCATATGCAGCGGGCAATTTTTTATTTTTTTAAACTGCACTAGAAAATATGACAGGAATGTTTTTATAGTGAATAACTTAATTTTTCATTCCCTTCAGTTTATCTAAATGAGACAGAATGCAACAAATGAGATAAATGAGACACACTTGAAACAGTATACAGTTAATGCAACATTTCAGGTAATGCTTATGTTCCAGAACAAATAAAAATTCACTGATGTGATGATATGTGTGACATAAATGATTTTTTTGTAGTAATTCTAGCTACTATATTTTCTTACTAATCTTTGCATAATGCATTTTTATCTTTTCATTTTAGCTTGATATGTTAAATATCTTCTGTAAACTCAGGAAAAGAAATATGTTGAAAATGCAGAATGCCTTGCAAACAAAGTTTGGTATAATGCATGAGCGGAAAATATGTACAAAGATTCTTTAACCTGTGCCTGCCAGCAAAGCACATTCAGAGGCTTAATTTGATCCAGTTTTACTTTCTTTATGGAAACAGTCCAGGTATGGAATATTTTATATTATTCCCCAAATGATAACTTAACACTTTACAGCTGTTACATGTTCGCACCCAAAACCAATTATATCATACTTGAAAAATATGTTTGTACTATGTCTGTAGCTCATATGTGCAACAGCAGAATTTTGGAAATTAAGGGGGCAATCAAGCAACAGTAATCACTGTACCAACAAAATATAGCATTTCCTTATGACAGTTTATAGGTAAATAAGTGCTTTATATGTTTAAATACACACATAAAGGTTAAAAGAGAAGATTGCATTTAAGTGAAACAAAAAATTATACTCAAATAAGTCTGATGTTGCATCTGTCCTCCTCTGCTTTTAAGATGAGGAACTGAGCAATCTAGGATCACTGATCACTCAGCCTTCAGTGAGCAGGGAATTGTCTGACACTGCTCTCTGCCCTCCAGCACTCATTGGACTGCAGAAGGGGGAGAGCAGCTGGCTCAGGCTCCCAGCAGATTGCTGAGAGACTGCTGCTGGTCCAGGCATCTGGCTGGATCCAGTGGTGGATTTAGTTCTTGTGCCGCCCTAGGCAACACAACAGCACCCCATCCCCCCCTCCACGTGCCGCCGCCACCACAAATCGCTACCCCCAACACCATCCCCCCCCCCCCCCCCCCCCCCCCCCCCCGCTGCCACCTCTCTATTCAAGGACTCACCATCTTATCTCTCTGAAATGACAGAAGAGCAGGCGGCCATCCCCGCACCCTCCAGCAGTGTGCACCCTCATCAGATCCTTGGAAGTGCCTCACCAGACTCCCATCCCTGCCAATTGTGACCCTTCTTCCGGGGGTGCTGCTGTCCCCCCTGGAAATTACTGCCCAAGGCAAATGCATTGCTTGCAGCATGGGAAATACGACACTGACACAGTAAGTTAATGTAAGTGCAGAGGACTGTATAGCATTCAGAATAGTGCAGAGGACTGTATAGCAGCCAGAATAACCACTTGAACACAGTGATATGACATATGCTTGCAGGAAAAATCCCCTGCATATTGATTTGTACAGAGGGATATTTTTCTATACCTAAAGCCAAAGTATGTGTGCAACTATGATGGCAACAAAGGGGAAGAAAGCCATCTCCGAGGTGTACTAACTGTAGTGTTAAATGTTGCAGTATGGATACATATGTATAAAACTGTACATAATTCCTCCAGCTATGAAGCAATTGATACTGTAGCAATAGCTTAGAAGATAAAGAGCATGTTATCATTTTATTGACTTGTTGTATTAGCATGCTGAATGAAACAAACAAATCTCCAAGGCATTCCAAGCAATCAGTATCCTCAGTTCAGGCTCTGCCTCCCCTCCAGTGCCACCGCCTGCCAACCCTAGGCACCAAAGCAGCATTCCCCCGGCCGCCACCACCCGATTGCCATAATAAGGGGGCAGTGCCGCCCCTCCCCCCGTTTGCCTCGTGGTAGACATGCCGCTGGCTGGATCCCAACCATATTGTTGGCATCTTTTCAGAGCCTGGACTGCAGAACAAACAGCACTCCTGTGATCCATAGGAGAAGTATAGCCAAAATAGCTTTGGCTATACTTCTCCTTTGAAACCTAGTGTGGGACTCTGCAGCTCCCAATTCTATCTCCACAGACTTACACCACTATATATATTTAGATTGAAGTTAAAGTATAACTATAGTCAACATTTTGTTTTTAATTGTGGATAGAGTGAAGTCATGTCTCTGGGACTCCCTCATGTGTTCTGTTGTTCTGGGGACAACATTTTACCAAAAATCTGCAACATGGAAACAGACAACAATAAAAAGCTGACAGAGGTACTAGCATTTCCTTACATAACATACAAAAAAAAAAAACATTTTTACTTCTGTCTATGTTGCTGTTGGAGAGTTTCCTTCATTTTGTGTCTGGTAAAAAGGTTATCTCCTGGACAGTAAGTAAGGAGAGAGCTCTTTAACGGGGCCCCAGACAGCTGTTAAACTTGTAAGGGGCTCTAGTCTTCTCTCATTCTATCCAAAGGAAAGAAAGGTTTTGTGTAAAGATATATTTTAAAGTGCATCTTCTTTACTGTTGTTTTTCTTCTCTCTTTACATTAAGGGTCATAACTTAGCTGAGGGTTGTTTTTATGTTCTCATAAAAGAAAAGGCCAAGACCCCAAGAAGTATAGCATAATGTAAAGGGAACAGTAGAAGTTATGGGTCTGGAAGGGGCTGTTGGAGAAGGGGTTACATTGTGGTCCTCCTTAATGCTTGGTCACAGTGGCCTATAGTACATAATAAAACTTGTAATGCAACCTACTTTTTAATGTAATGTTACATACTTAATTCATTTGCGTCAATGAAACATTTTTATGTCCAGGTCTCTTTTGTTATAATTGCATAACTCTGACCAAATAGAAACCATAACTCAGACCTAGAGACATGCCTTTACATTTGAACACCAGATCTACAGAATGTACTACCTTTGTAGTATGGGGGTCTCCCTAACTGGGTGCAGTAAAATTGGAAATGGTTGTTTAGGCAGGTTCTCAATTGACATAGTCACTTGTTGAACTGAAAAATCAAATTGTAAAATGTATTTAAAGCCAAATTAATATATTTTTTTTTGGTAGAGTAGAGAAGGGTTATTACATATGTCAGGTTTTTATTACTCTCTATGTCCATGGTTCGGGGATTTACCCTCTTTACTTGTACTGATGACCAGTGTCACCAGGACCCCGAATAGTAAAGAGAATGTCAAAACTTTCAGTTGCCACCAGAACAGGAATAGAGGGGAAATCTTTCAATGCAAACCATTGTCCTGGTGACAACTGTCTTAGTGAGATGTTAGTAACTCTAGAGAGGTTTGCTCTAATTTGTTGTTGAGTCTGCAGGACAAGAAGTGAAAGAAAATCTCTGGAATGGGTCACAGACGGCAAAAAACGCAGACAGAGAGTTTTACTATACCCTATCCATCCTAAATTAAAAAATGTTTGGCTATGTTTTTTTTTACTATGGCTTTATTTTAAGTACAATATATGTGAGACCATCCTAATGGCATTTTTTTGCAGATCTTCAACAAGTATTTTGTGGGAATTTGAATACAGGGGTAGTGTTGTGTTCTGCAGTCTGGGAGGCAGAATAGTTATAAAGTGCTTTGCTAACAAGCTCAGATGTCTGAGTATATCATAACAGGAATAGGAACTGGAAGACAATTGTACAGAGTATAGACAGTATTATATACATATAATAACTGTAACAACTATGACATCCACAAGCCAGAGGCAGGAGCTCTACAGGTATCATGTTTACATTTATTTCTTATGAATCTTTTACGGTTT